CCCGCGTCCCGCACCCGGATTGTCCCGGTAAGCGGGGGCGGGAATTTGGAGACCGGACCTCACCTAAGGGCGAGTCTGCGGGTCGGACAGTCCTCGTGGTCGCTGAGGTGCCCGTGTGGGAGCGGCCCCAGGGATCCGTGTGGAAGTGGGTGAGCCCCGAGTGGGCGCTGCCTCCACCCCCATGGGTGAGTTCCAGAGCAGTGTGGGGAGCCACCCCCAAGGCTCATCCCCTGTGTGCATCCCTTGTGTGAAGGGAGGCGCCCAGAGTGCTCTGCACTTGCTTCCAAGGGAGCCCCAGTGTGGGCGCAGCGTCCCCAGGGGGACCTTCTGTGTCACTAGGGGAGCGAGAGCCAGGTTGGCTCCCTGAAAGACTGTGTGGGAACAGAGGGATGCCTCAGGAGATCGTGGTGGTGGTGTGTCCCAGAGGGGACCATATAGGCCCTAAAGGTGCCTCAAGGAACCTATGACTAAGATCCCTGAGTGACTTCCCCTAGCTCTAAGGACTTTGGCCTTGCCCTCCTTCAGGATTCTAGGTGCTCTCACTTGTCTCTGCTCTTCTCCAACGTGGTCAAGAGGAGACTCTATAGGAGCTGTGGTCGTTGTTCATTTTGTAACTCTACCTCCTGCGTTAGAATTTATTTTTTCTGTAATAGCCCACTTGACCTCAAGCTTGACTACTGAGGTAGAAACTGCTGTAAGAACACAGGGCCTTAAGGAGAGAGGGAACTGAAAATGAGGCTTCCGAACCAAAGATAGAAGGAGCCTTCACCATTCAGAAGCAAGATCGGGTAGAATAACTTTGATATTCCCTGGAAAAAAGGATATAAAGATTATTGAGCACCAGTGTACCAGGCACTATGCTGGGTATACTTAAACATGTCCTATAATCCCTACAGCCTTTTGAAATTACCCCTTTTAAACATTAGGTACTTAAAATTCAAAAAGGTGTAGCAATGTTCCCAAGGTCACAAAGCTTGGAATCATGAAACCTATTCTTCAAGTTTTATTTGGGGAAAAAGTGTCAAGGAGAAACAGAAGAATGGACGCTTGTTAATAAATTACATTAAAGTACTGGGCATCAGGCTTTGCGATAGTATATGCTCAATGTGATGAATAAACAAGTGGATGAGGATTATTTAACTGGAGATGAGACTGCTGCAGGAACAAATTTCCACAGTATTCCCATATTTCAACGTATTGCTTCCTTGGTTGGCAGCCTCACTATAATGGTACCTGGAGATAGCTCTGGACATAATTAGGTCTGGAAGAAGGCTCTGGTATGGTATGTAACAGCACTTGCTTGGGAGAGCTAGAGGAATCTTCAGAGGTGTTCTGAGGCCACTCTCACTGCTGCAGAACCCTTGAGGGAGGAGAAAAAAAGAAATGATCACTTTTAAGGAAGCATAGCACACTGTCCTGGTGGCTCCCTGACTATGTACACCTTGGACGTTGGTCCATAAATACAACTCAGGACACTTTTGCCCAACAGGGCTTCTGTTAGAGGAAGAGGAAGGTGAGAAAGATGAGAGCCAGGGAAGGTTTATTGGGAGTTTGTGGTCTGGGAACAACAAAAATTTTATATCTGACATAGTGATGCTATCTTGGTTCATTTCCTCAACGTTTTCAGTCAAGCTGAATCCCAAGAGTTTAACTTTGGACCCAAGGATAGACTCTGGTTTCCTATCAAAAAATGAAGTAGTGAAAGGGCCAAGCAATGGAATTTACCACAAAGTCATTCTAGAAGTTTTATTTTTCCCCTTTCTCCTTTTCACACAGCCAGCCTAGTAACATCCTCCTTTTAATAAAATTGGCTTTCCTGAGCTCCTGGGATTACATAGTGAAAAGTGAGACCAAGTTAGTGAGGAAACAGACCTAGATTACCAATTTATTGGTTGTGTTTTTAATTTGGTGACTTCCTCACAGATGGGTGTGGTACACATGAACAGCTCAGTGGAGTAAACTCCTACAAAGGTTCGTATTGGTTTTCATCTCCCATTATAAAGTTGTTTATAACATTCTCAGTTCAAATCCCTCTTACTGGTTTAACAGGTCAAAATATACAAGGTATATACTGGGTTTTTTTTTTTTAAAGAAAATCAGAAGTAATTTAGAGATTTGTCTTTGAGTTTTATTGTTAAATTTGTCTTTTTATTGAGGGCTGTTCATATCTCACCTCATAACCCTGAAAAAAATCGCTTGACTAATTCAGATGCTACCTAAATCTTGGACTTTAGATATTATTTCATGTCTAGCATAGGGTAAACATTAAGATTTTAAAACTTCTAAGAATAGTGTTTAACTCCCTAATGATCACAATATGAATCTGCAAATCGAATCATTACAGAATGTGTGTGAAGGATGTCACCAGGTGGCCTTAATCTGCTCCAAAAAATGTTCTCTTCAAAGGGAAATAAAAGAATGGCTCACTCATTTTCATTCAAGTGTGTGCAAATGTGTCTAGATTTTACTCTGAATTTCTCAGCCTTTGATCTTCCACATAGTCTGTGACCACATTCTTATGAGTTTCTTCTTCCAACATTTGCTGTATTTTTACCAGTGCTTCCTTTTCCTTGAATATGCATAGTAAAACCTTCCCAGGCCAATTTCCCACTCATTGCATTTTTTCCAGTATACCTGTTCCTAAGTGGATCATACTTATGCAAATAGTTTCCCATCTTTTTAGCTACAGAATCTATTATCTTTCGGTCCCACATTCTTCTCTCCAGCAATGCTACTTGGTTTTTTTCTATCTTCATTTCTTAAATTGATTTATTCATTTCTGATGGGAATATCATTATGTACTCCACCCTTCAATCTTAATGACCAAGTTCTGAGTTCTAATGGGAATTGCTCATCATCTTTGGACCAAGAAACCTGAATTGTCGGTGTCCAGCTGGAGACATGATTATTGTTTCCATTATAGCATCTCTATCCTCCACATCCCTTCTAACAATCCCCTCAGAGAACCACATACATACTAAGTGCTACTTACTTGCCAGCACTTAGTTATATAAATAAAGAGTTCTTGCACTTGCAGAGTTCACATAGAATCAGTCTGTATTTCTTTAATCATTTGCTATAAAGAGCAGGAAAAATGAGAATAAGTTTTACAGAGTGTCTAAAGCAGTCAGTATAGAGGCATCATTGAAAGCTACCATTCTGTGTCTCCCCAGGCAGCCACATCTTAGCCTCTCTGCCAGAGTTAGTTTTGTCCATATGCTTTTTGTGCACTAGCCATACCTTTCCCTCCCTGTGACAATAATGACACAACCATACATTTGATAACATATTAATAGTTTATAAAGTTAACATGTTATACTTTACATATTTGTTTTCTCTTTGATTTTGAGAAATATTTCTTTTTACTGGAGTCTTCCCTTTTTGTTTCATTTTTGTTTGTTTGCATTTGAGGTTTATGAGTCTCATATAGAGAAAGTCCCAATGATTCACTATGATTACCACCTGCAAGCTCTTAAGTTGTAAAGAAGAGTTTCTTGTTGGGTCTTCAGCCTAGCAATGTATTCATTGATCAGCCCTGGAACTTAATCAGGGTTAGCCCTGTTCCTGGCCTCAGGAAATCCAGTTATTTGAGTTTATGTGGGTTTTTTTAAATCTCCTTGAAATTCAAATGAAAATTCATTTCTAAACGAATATTTTAAGCATACTACCTCAAACCAATTCTTTGGGCTGACGCTAATTCATGTGTGAAGGCAGGTTTCCTCTCCTATTTCTATCTTGCACCCAGGCTGGCTTCATATCATCCAAGTCATGATGGAGTCCCCATATAGCTCCATGCCTTGGCATGTGTTCTTACCTCTTCCTGGAATGCTTTTTTTTTTTTAATCCACCAGGGTAACTCCCACTCATATTCAAAATTTAGCTCAAGCAACACCTTTTTTTTAAGTCCTACACTCATGCCCCCTACACATGTAACATACTCACTGCATTCTCACTGACAAGTGAGATTCCATTTGTGCAGTCTGTTAACAGTCATTAGTACCTGATGTGCGCCTGAAACATAGTAGGCTGCACTTAGCAAATGTTTGTAGAATCAACAATCAAGTAAATGGTAATAATTAAAATATAATACCTGCATTAAATAAGGCTGAATCTTTGCTTTGGGGACCTAGAACAGAAAACAGGGAGTGCCTCTCATCTTGCTGAAAAGCTCTGCTTGCTAAGTGCAGTCACATCAGCCAGTCACTGATGGCATGATTTTCCTTTACTGTTGCTCTGCTTCTGTGGGAAGTCTGCACTGTAGCTTTTAATGAAGACTCAGCCCAGACCCCTAGAGGCTAAAGATCATGCCATAATTTTGCTCTCATGTATATTAGAGCTTTGTGAGTAGGTAAATATTAAACCACAGCAAGACCTCCCTTATGCCTCGTAGTCTTAAGCAGAGGGCAGGAAGATAGTTTTTGCTCAATTTTAATCCTGACTGCTCCTTGGAAACCTCAGAAGAGCTCTGTGCAGTTAGGATGACTGTATCTTTCTAGATAAGCAGAGGTGAATAGAGGGCAATGAGAAGGTCCTAGGTAGACCCCTTCAGGGTCTACAGGCATGAAAACTAAAAATAGTATATAGTCTACTGCCAGGTAACAGAATGGCTGAGAAGGAAAACAGGTTCCAAATACACTGTAGTGAGGCACTGGATTCCTAAAGCAACAACCAGTCAGTAGAGAACAATCGGACCACTTGGGGCATGCATTTCCTCAAAAATCAGCAGAGGGTAAGGGGATTCTTCCTGATATTTTTGTTTAAATTCTTGGAGTTGATGCTGATGTAGACAGTGAGCTCATGGTCTGTGCTGTGGGTTCTGCTTTTTTTTTTTTTAATGTACCCTGTTTCTGCTGCTTTTCTATACTCTTGTGACTGGTCACTTTCTGTGTTAAGTACATGGCTTTCTCTGAGGCTCTTAGTTCTTCGTATGCATTCTTCCAGAAACCAGTTTTTGGCTACCTTGAAATTTTTCACTCATATGTGCAAATTCGGCTTGTGCTAAATTTCTCCACCTCAAACCCAAGAGAGAAAAGATGAATTTTCAAGCTTCCTGCTTGTGCCCTAAGGCAGTTGCCCAACTATGGGCCAGGCTGCAATACATAGGATATAGCATAAATGCAGGAGACTATTGACTTTGGTAATGTTGGGCTTGGAAATTGGATAAACTCCAAAATTTTTATAGTTTTCCTCTGTAGTCAGAGAAGTCATCCCTTGTTACTATATATCTGTTCTCATCCCTGCAAGTCCTGACTCACCATTCAGGGTCCACTTCTGGGGAATCTGAATAGATGTGATGAGATAAGATTACTGTATAGGTTCTAGATCTGCCTTCCGAAGATTTGGTCTGATCAGTTTTCTGGCCAGCTTTGATAAAGACAAAGGGCACTGACACCATGATCTCAAATATACTTTTTATGTTGTTCAGTTATCTCTGCAACATTCATTTAACAGAGATGTGTAGAACATATGCTCTGTGGAAGGCAATGGGGACCATCTAGACTTTTCTCCCTTTTGACCTTAGTGAAAATATATTTTCTTCTACCCACTAACCCTACTCTTGCAGTTTTCTTGCTAGTATCTTTTCTTGTTCCTGCCCAGGGAAGCCCTCATAACTTCCAGAAAAAATCCCTTTTAGTTACCTTTCTACCTTTCAAACAGCTGTCATTCTTGTATCAAGAATCAGATTAAAGCAAGTAAATGCATTTTACATTTAGCATGCTGAGTGAGGAAACTCCTGCCTATTATGAGGGTTGCTCCTTGAGCTTTCTATGCTATAAATCTTTATAGAGAATTCCTGGGAGGAAAGGTTCCCTAGCTGCCTTTGTCTTCCTTATTTCTCCACTACCTCCTGCTATGGAGCAGCCCCTCCTCTTTACTCCCACAATTTTGCCTTTATAAATAATCCCATTGCATTGTAAGCAGGTACTCTACAGGGAATGGGGTATGTCTTGCACACACATCCCAAGCTACCCACATATGTCTTACTGCCTGACAAATACATCTAGACAGCCTTCTCTTAGTGAAAAGTGAATTCTGATTGTTATTTTAATTTCTTCCAGTTCATATAGTCATATGACATATTCTGCCTTCTTGTACCACTATTATTTTCCACCATCTGCTTCTATCCCCCAGAGTTTTTTTTCCAAGCCTTCCTTGTATATCACAAATTCTTGATAATCACATCATTCTTGGGACATCTTTTTATACCCTTTTCATTCTTGTTACAAGGTAGAAAAGCCCAGTTCTATGCACTAGCCAAAGAAATAGTTACTAGGAATAATTTGTAGAATCTTTGCAACTTGATTTTCTTTTAGCTTGCTGTTCTTCCTAGGACTTATTCCAGCACAGGAGAAGCCAGCATTTGTTTTTACCCATAGCTAATCAGTACCATTTGTTTCCCTAGAAATTAGAGCTTATTGTGTTAATTTTCAAATAATCCAGGTGCACATCTTGGATATTGCAGCATACTCGCTTTTACAAGGTGTCTTTTGTGTACAAGTTCAGTCCTCTCCATTAAACATTAAGGGATTTATCCTCACTCTTAAGGTTTAATTCTGTTGTTTCCTCAGTTTATAGTCAAAATCAAAGCCTTATCAGTTCAAAATGATAGGAAAACAAAAAATAAAATGACTCAGGGCCTTGTTTGGATTTTGATGGTTTCCTTTTAATGGCTCTACATTTTCTGCCCTTACAGGCACAAAGTGATCTAGAAAATTGAACCATCTCAAGTAAAAGGAATAGGAATGCTGAAAGAATCTGTGGTCAGAACTAGAAAGGTTTTTTTATTATTACTATTTGTTTTGCTAGTGGACGTCAGCTTCAGTCTCCATAGAAATTCTTTAGGGATAAACTTTCACAACTATCACAATAACATCATTGACAACTGAACTAGCTTAGTTGAAATTTTTGGTGTCCATACACAGAATAATGGTATCATTGTAATAAATAATGGGTTGAAGCAGGACTACAGTGTGTCAGAGGGCGTTTATGGTTAGTTTCTTGTTGTGCTGTTAAAGTCAGTTCACTTGTAGAGAAAGCCTCCTAACTGGCTGGCTTTTATTTAATAACTGTCATTACATCATCTGAAAAATAATATGAATTAGATTAGATGCATTTTATTTCTTTTCCTCCATTCTTGAATCACTCTTGAAAAAGTGAATTTAGGCTGGGTATGGTGGCATGTGTCTGTAATCCCAGCACTTGAGAGGCTCAGAAAAAAGGATAGTCACATGCTCGAGACCACCCTGGGATATATAGTGAGTTCAAGATCAGCCTAAACTACATAGTGAGACCATGTCTAAAAAAAAAAGAAAAAAGAAAAGGTGAATTTAATATGCTTATTCCAGATCTCCAAGTAACTTTCTGAATTTTTAAAAAACTCATGCCTTCTTAGCCAGGCGCAAGCCTGTATGTAATCCCAGCACTTGGGAGGCTGAGGCAGGAGGATTGCTGTGAGTTCAAGACCAGCCTACGCTACATAGTGAGTTCCAGGTCAATCTCAACTACATAGTGAGACCCTGTCTCAAAAAACCAAAAAAAAAAAAAAAATCATGCCTTCTTTCCGGTAAACATAAAGATCTTATCACTGCTCTCTATCTAAACTTCTGATACTACTTAAGAGAGGAGACTGCCTTCTCTATTTGGAGAACTAATACCTTCTCTATCTTCCCAAAATATAAGAGGATACTGTCAAGCTCTGCCATTACACAAAAATGTTGGCTTTTAATATTTGTTTTCCAAATATAAACATTATTGATAAAATGTTTTAACCCACTCACTTCTGTCCCCTTTCTGGAGTTTCTGTTATAGACCCTCTCATACACACCTGCTGCAGAATCCAGCCAGATGACCATTTGAGAATCATTCCTTTAGTCTCCAGATTTTAAAAATTAAATCAATTTTTTTCTTTCTTACAGATTGAATATATCACAAATTATTAAGTAATTTCCCTGTTGAAATTGTTTTCATCTTGTTATCACTGTTAAAAAGTAGTGGAGCCGGGCGTGGTGGTGCATACCTGTGTACTTTGAAGGCTGAGGCAGGAAGATTTCCATGAATTTGAGACCAGCCTGGGCTGCAAAAGTTCATGGCCAGTCTGAACTACATAGTGAGACCCTGTCTCAATCTCCCCCTCACCAAAAACAAAGTAGTGGAGTAAGCCAGATGTGACATTCTGGAGAGGTGGAGGCAAGAAGAGCACCAACAGCATCATACTAAGCTCAAGGCCAGCTTGGACCATGAAAAAATTTCTCTCTCAAGAAAAATATTGCCCCAATAAGTTTTCTTAATATTCACTGGCCAAAGCAGCTCAGCTGCTTTGTGGAGTAGGTTTGCCTTTCCTTCCTTCTTCTTCCCTTTCTTCTTTCTTTTATTTTTAATACAAACATCTTATAATTCTGGGCTGTCAGTAGTCCAGCACAGCCTCACTGGGTTTAAATCAAGGTGTCAGAGCTGTATTCCTTGGTAGAGGCCTGTTTGTTTCTTGCCTTTTCTACCTTACAGAATCCACCTTCATTTCTTGGCTCACAGCTCCTTCCTCTTTCTTTGAAGCCAGCAATAGGCAGTCAAGTCTTTCTCATATCTCTCATAGAGTAGGTTTTCTTTAGTGAAAGGAATATTATCAACTGTTCAACTTTGCTAAACCTTCCAGTCCACAGACTTAAGAAAATCCTGAGTAAACTGTTTGTCTTGAATAAAATTGTTGAGGGCAAAGCTTTCCTATATCAATAATATGTTTATATTTGGAAAACAAATATTAAAAGCCAACAGTTTTGTGTGTAATGGCAGAGTTACTAACTTTTCCTCGCCAGTCATAGGGATTGAACCCAGGGTCTTATATACAGTACTCTAGGCAAGCACTTAACCACTGAACCATACCCCCAGCAAAGGCAACCATTTTTAAATCAAGAAAAGAAAGTATAACTTTAAAAATGATCCTAAGCTTTGGGTTTTCAAAAGGCAGATTCAGATCTATTAGTAATTCATGAATCATTTCAAAAAGTCATTATCAGGGTAGCTTTAATGAAATAGAATAGAATATATCAGGGATCAGCACATGTAGGATCACCACATGTTAGGATTGGTCCACAAAATTTTGTGTTTGACTAGAGGTCTATAAACATACATGCATAAAGGATCACCACATAAAATATATTTCTTACTCGGGGTCATAGTCATATGTATAAATGTACATAGTATATACCTAGTAGTTCCAGAAAATGTAATTGCTCATAATTAAAATATGCAATGAAGGGTAGTATGTTAGTTTTAAATTCTTCTTCTTAATGTGCCTCTCACAATACTCAGGGGACTCACCTCCCTGTATAACTGTGGAGCACGGGCATTGCCCATGAGATATCTGGGCAGCGTGTGGGGACTGCAAGCCCAGTTTAAGGCCTCCGAAAAGACTTTTAACATACATGCTCCTCTCCACTCCCATCCCCACTCTGGCTGGATCCCCTCATAAGGTCACTTGCTGCAAGTTCAGTCTCCACTACCACAAAAAAAATTGAGCATTCATTGTTCCAATCAGTCTTTACCAGATAAATGCCCCAAGCCCAAAGCAATAAAGCAGCATGTTCATCAGCATATCCTAAACTAAAACAAGTCACTAGGTTGACAACTCTAGGATTCAAAAATCTTTCAGATCATTAAAATTAGATCATAATGGTATTTTTGTAACTTGATTTTTTCATCAATGTGTACATATTTTAGTATCTTTCTGCATCAGTAATTGCACTTCTACCTCAATGTTTTCATGTTATCTAGTCTTCTTAGTGCTATAATTTATTCTCCTGTTGTCCAATATTTGTTTCTGATGGGGGGAGATTTTTAATCACAGTTTATTATAATTGTCACTGAGGCATGATTTACTAAATTTGCTCACTAAATCTCTCCCATCATCTTGTAGGGCAGTTACTTATTCAAAGAAATTTAGTCATATACTTCAATTTTATAAATTTACAAATGGGAGACGTAGAGATTTCCTTCTCATCAGTTTAGAAATTTAAGAGTATAGATTTCCTTGGTAACAATAATGCCAGGGTAGAAATTTGTAGGGCATACAAGCAGTGTTTCTGGAAAGAAGGTGTGATTATTATCAGATGTGCTTTATAGTAAGGTTTTATGTTTAAAAGCAAGATTTTTCCATAAGTAATTAAAAAATGTCTATTGGCGTCTATTTTGTTTTATTTATTTATTTTTGGTACTGGGGATTGTACTCAGAACCTTGCATTTGCAAGGTGGTCGGAAGAACCACTGAGCTACTTCCCCAGTCCTGAGCATCTATTTTGCTCCAGACACCTTGCATTGTAGCTAGATACTGGCAGGGTGAAACAGTCTATTAGAGGAATCTGACATTGATCAGATAATTATCCTATTAAATAGGTAATGATGCTTCAGAGCAGAAGAGCATGGTACTGTGTGCCCTTCCAACTGAACTGGATGTTAGTGAAGTCTAACAAAAGTAAAATGAATTGTAGAGCTTATAATAGGCCAGTTGCTTGTGAGAGATAAAGAAATTCACAGAGACATGGCTACTAACTGGAGGGTGCAGAGGATTATTTGTGATGTATGGGGATGGCAGAGTTTCTTGACTGATTCTGGTATCTTCTAAAAATAAGAGTTTGTTCACCTACAACTTAAAATGTAGTAGTTGGTTGATGAGGATGATCCCTAGATGAATTGTGTACAGTAATTATTGCAGGCACTTTCCATTGATCAGAAGGCCTGAAAGGTGTAGTTTCAGGTTTGCTTTGAGCCTTGAATTCTCTGCAAAGTCTGCAAAACTATCTCAGAGTGACAGAGGCTTGCAATCCCTGAACCAAATTGGCTTTAGGATGAGAAGAAACATCATTTAATACATATAGAGCGCTTCCCACTTTACTAAGCACCATTAAGTCCATTTTCTTGTGTTAGCTTCATGACAGTCCTATGAAGTGGACTAAGCAGATAATTTTCATTCCATAGATGGCAAAATCAAAGTCACAGGGCCAATCAGAAGTAGAACCAAGGTCTTCTGATTCCTGAGTGCATGCGCTCTTCATCCCACCATACTGAGTTCTAGAAGAAGAGAAAACTTTAATACTTAAATACAGTACTTTCCATTTTGGTAAAACTAATTAGCCCAACATGCTCAGCTATTGGTTGGCTCTGTGCTTCTGTTTTTTGTCCATAGAGTCATGGGTGTGTTGATGTCCAAGCGGCAGACTGTGGAGCAGGTACAGAAGGTGAGTCTGGCTGTGTCTGCCTTCAAGGATGGGCTTCGGGACAGGCCTTCCATCCGACGAACAGGTGAGCTACCAGGGTCTCGCCGTGGCACTGTCGAGGGCTCTGTCCAGGAGGTGCAAGAGGAGAAAGAACCAGAAGCAGGAACCCAAGTGGTTCAGGAAGAGGGCAGGGTCCATCGTGCAGCCTGGGAAAGGCTTCGAGATGGACGTGGAGTAGAGCCAGAAGAGTTTGACAAAACCAGTCGATTCACACCCCCTGCCTTCATCCGCCCCACCCGGAAGCTGGATGATGACAAGCCTCCAGATATCGCCTTGGAGCCCAGAGAGCCTGTAAGTATCCAATTAAAGCAGGATCCTCCATCTTAGTCTTTCTGAGGATCAAGAAGTAGTAAAGGGAGATCTGAGCATGGTTGAAATGAGACTCAAAACCAGAAAGCAGAGTCCAGATTACATGTTGGATTTGTCTTAGTGAAAGACTTGGGGCAGTGGGTAATGAAAATCTACCAACCCTCCCACCCACAGGTTCTTAATCATGGATAGTAATGACTGCTACAGAATGCATTTGGAAATTTGGGAAGGGAAATTTGGGACTGTCACAAGGACTGGGAGTTCCTACTGGTGTTTGATGCCAGGAAAACCAGTGATGCTATATGTCCTGCAATTTCTGGGAAAAGCGCTTGTAACAGATTATTCTTTCTAAAAATTCCATTAGCATTCCTGTTCAGAAACATGGTTAAAAAGGCTTGGGCAACTAGAAGAGCCTCCTAGTTCTTAGCCACCAGGAAGAAAGTTCTAACATCTTAAGGCTGAATTCAGGAATTGTTCCTCTAGGATGCTTCAGGGAGCCTCAGCCCTAGACAGGTAGCTCTGTGCTCAGTGGCCATAGGATCTTGCTGCCTCCACTTTCACATCCCTGCCAGTTTATTCCCACCATCTTTCACATGCCTGTTTATTCCTGCCACCTTTTCTCAGGTTGTCAACGATGAGATGTGCGACATCTGTGAGGTCTGGACGGCTGAGAGCCTCTTCCCATGCAGGGTCTGTACCAGGGTTTTCCATGATGGCTGCCTGCGCCGCATGGGCTACATCCAAGAAGACAGTGCAGCAGAGGTGATCGAGATGGCCCACTCAGAAACAGGCTGGAGCTGCCACTACTGTGTGAGTGGACGACAGGGACAGTGGGCTGCAGAAAAGCAGAGGACTTGGTACTTTTCCTGGAGGCCCAGTATTAGAACACTTGTTTTTAGGCAGTGACCTAACAGGTTTTCTAAATACTTACAAAGATCCTAGAACTATGATGGGGTTTCTCAACTCTGTATTATTGACATTTGGGGCTAGATAATTCTTTGGTGTGAGGGTACATTATAGGATGTTTGGCTGCATCTCTGGCCTCTGCTCCACTAGATTCTAATATCCCCAGTTGTGATAACCAGTGTTCTGGATGGAGCAAAATCCATCAGTAGAGAACCACAGAGCTAGGGAGCAAGCTGGTTGAAATGATCCCAAGTACTAAAAAGTAACTTTACTTAAAGTTTCTCTGACTGTTGTTGTCATTTATCGGTACTCACTTGAAAAACCAACCAGCTTTCTCCTAATAGGAATAGATTCTATCATTGGAAAACCATTTAGTGCTGTGATCCTCAGTTTGACCTGTCTCCTGACTCTTTTTCATTTCTGAAGTGATCACTATGTGAATTAAATATAAAGCTCTACTGATTCAGAACTTTGCAAAATAAACGTCTTCCATTTTAATAAAAGACAGAATCTGAAATTTTCATTCAGAGCCAGATTCTTATCCATTTCTCATCATACCTGAATAAATTCATGTATTTACTTCTTGATATGTTGTCCTTCATATAGTGTCATCATTCTCTGATTTCAGAGTAAAGAGCATCTGATGATTGCCCTCTTCTCCCTATTGTCTAGAAAAAAGCAGAGACATGTCTCTTGTCTTTCTGTCTTGTCTTTAAAGTACAGAATAATTCATTTTCAGCTATTAAACATCTTTTCCCCTAGACAACTGCATTATCTCCTTTGGCTTCTTAGTCACCTACAACCTCTACATCCATCATTCTGCTGAATTGGCTCTTCCTAAGGTCACCCTAATTATTAAGTCCAGTGATTCTTTCTCAGGCAACTTATTTGACTTTTCTGAAGTACTTAGCACTTTTTTATTTTCCATTTTTCTTAGAGTTTGAGCATTTTTGTGTGAATTATTACATAAAATATGTATAATCCCTCCACACTTGTGTTACCACTGTTAGCATGAGCTACTTTGTTCAACTTACTCTCTCCATTGATATCTAATACCCTCTTCTGTACCAACTTTCCTCCAGCTTTCTTTAAAAGTGTCTTTAGGCTTTTGTCTCAGTCTTAAATGCTGGTGCTTCTTAGGGTTTGTTGCTAATACTCTTCTCACTGTACACTCTCTTTGGATGACTTTATCCTACAGCCACCTCTAAACACTAATGACTTCCATATCTGTGTGTCCAGTCCTAAATTTCCTGTCTCTGGGACTTATGTCTTTCAGATACTTCATGCTCATCTTGCCCCAAAATGAACTCATCTTTCTTTCTAACCTGCTCTTCCTCCAGTGAATTGTAATAGCATCCTCTAGTTCCAAGTCCCAGCTTATTTTCTTCCTCACCATTCAGTATCCAGTAAGTCACCAGTTCTGTTTACTGTGTCTCTCATGTCTTTCCCTTCTTCTTTGTTCATACCATTTTACTCTCTTCCTCTCCTGATGATTGAACCCAGAGCCTTCACACTGAGCTAGATCCCCAGGCCTTCTTATTTTTTATTTTAGGATAGGGTCTCATTAAGTCACCAGGTTGCCCAGGCAGACTTTAAACTTGTAATCATCCTGCCTCTGTCTCCCAGAGTGTTGAGATTACATTTATGTGTTTCTGTTCTCACATCAAAATTAGCTTCTCAAGGGGCCAGGGATTTAGCTCAGCAGTTCGGTGGCCTGCCTTGCAAGCGCAAGGACCCGAGTTCAATCCCCAGTACCAACAAAAACAAAAAATTAGCTTCTCAGCTCAGTGGTTCCACCACTTGCCACGCAAGCATAAAGGCCCGAGTTCAATCCCCGGTACCAAAAAAAAAATTAGCTTCTCTGGGGCTGAGGATTTAGCTCAGTGGTACTGTGCCTGAGTTCGATCCCTGGTACTACAAACAAACAAAAAATTATCTGCACTATCGCAACAGCCACCCAACTGCTCTCTATGCCTCCAGACTTTGCCACTGCCATCCATTTTCTCACAGCAGAGATCTGACCAATGTATTCTCTACTTAAAATCCCTTGGGTGCTTTCCTTCGCACTCAGAATAAAGTTGAAGAGCTCAATCAAAGACATTTCAGGTGCTTCCCAGTCAGGCTATCTACCCTCCTTTTTATTGTTCTTCTGTGTACTTCCTCCTCACATTCACACATGCTCTATACTCCAGCCACACTGAATATCTCACAGTGTTGCATATACAACATTGTGGTGCCCAGCATATATGAGGCTCTCGGTAAGTGTTTATTAAAAACATGCTTTGAGTTCTTTTTGACATGAATATTCATAAATTACCTGCTCGTATTCTTGGCTGATATTTTGATGAAAAAACTTAACCTATTAGAATATTTGATATAGACTATATTAGTAGTTCTGAAATAAGATATCAGTGCTTGTTTGGACTTAAAATGTCTATTGTACAACAAAAAATAATTTGACTTTGGGATAGCATCTATTTTGAAACCATTCTGGAGTCATCTAAAGCAATATAATCTACTAGGAGCAAAGCTTTAACTAAAATACTCTCAAGCACAGCCTAATACAGATGGCAGATGCAGCAAATGTATAAAGATGGAACTGCTCTGGTTGGTGAAGACAGACAGCCCTGCCCACTTACTACTGTCTTGTCCTCCGCAGCAGCTTTCTGAGTCATTCCCAAGAAATTGCTCATTATCTCAGAGGATAATTTGAAAACCAATTATGTCTTGTTGTTTTGTTTTATACTGGGGATTGAACCCAGTACCTTTGAACTAAACTAGATCCCCAGACCTTTTTTTTTTTTTTTGAGTCAAGTTCTTGCTAAATTGCTCAGAATGGGCTCAAACTTTCTTTTCTTAAAATTTATTCATTTTTAAAATATATTTTATCCCATCGCTCCATTCCCCTTCCACTTCCTCCCCTCCCTATATACAAAAGCTTCCTTTCCATTTTTCCTTCTGTTTTCACTTTTCTTTTTCCTTGTCCCTTCCTTCCTTTCTCCCTCCCTTCTACCTTGTTCCCATTTGAATGTTTCCCATTTCTGTTACATATTTTAATCCTTATTTCTACTTTTGGTTTCTCACACCAGAGAAACAATGCAGTATTTAAACATATGTGTCTTATTTATTTCATTTAAGAGTATGATCACAAGGTCAATCTATGTAGGTGTAAATGTCTGAAGTTCATCCTTCTTTATGGCAGAGTAGTACTCCATTGTATAAAAAACAACTTTTCTTTATCCATTTATTGGTTGATGGGCATTTGGCCTGTTTCCAAGATTTAGCTATTATAAACTGTGCTGCTTTAAGCACGGATATATCACTGTGGCGGGATGCTTTTAATTCTTTTGGAAAGCTACCAAGAAGAGGAATAGCTGGGTTAAATTATTACACAGTTTAGTTTTAGTTTTTTGAGGAATCTTCTACACTGATTTCCACAGTAGTTGCACCAGTCTACACTCCAACAGTTGAAAATGGTTCCTTTTCCCCCACAGTCCCTCTATCATTTGTTATTGGTTGATTTCTTGATAGCAGCCATTCTTTCTGGAGAGATGGAATCTCAGCGTTGTTTTAATTTGCATTTCACAAATGACAAATGATGTTGAACTTTTTTTCATGTATTTATTTGCCATTTCTAATTCTTCATCTGAGAAGTGCCTTTTCATTTCAGATGCCTATTTTTTGATTGGGTCTTTAAATTTGGAGGGTTTGACTTTTTTAGTTCTTTATATATTCTAGATAACAGTCCTTTATCTGATAAAGAGCTGGTAAAAAAATTTTCCCACAGTGTGTGTTTTCTCTTCACTCTTTTGTTGGTTTCTCTTGCTGTGCAAAAGCTTTTTAATAAGATGAGGTCCCAGTTTTTTATTCTTTGTAGTATTTCCTATGTGATCTGGGTTTTGTTCATGAAGTCTTTACCTACTCCTATGTCCTTAAGCATTCTGTGTTCTCTCTCCCAGGAGATTTAGTGTTTCCATTTTAATATTTAGATATTTGATCTGTTTCAATTTCAGGTTAGTGTGTGGTGAAAGGTATGGGTTTAATTTCAATCTTCAGCTGTGGAAAGCCAGGTTTTCCAGCACCACTTATTAAAGAGGCTGTCTTTCTTCCAGTGAAGGTGTCTGGCTCCTTTGGCTAAGTATGACTGGAGATGTTTCTGCTCTTCTAGTCTTTTCCATTAATCTTCAGGTCTGTTCTTTTACCAGTATATGCTGTTTTTATCACAGTGCTGGGCTCAAACTTTCAGTCCTCCTTCCTCAGCCTCCCAGAGTATTGAATTACAGGTGTGAGCCACCACACCCTGTCATAAACTAGTACTTTAGTAAAAGGGACTCAGGTGGAATCAATATGTATGGATTCTGGGGAAGTTTTTGCCCCAAAGTTGGAGAATTCTGAGCAAGTCCTTTGCTCTTTCTGGGGCCTCAGATCTCCTTGACTGTGAATGGGGAGGCTTGGAACAGGTGATCTTGCAATTGCCTTCTATTTGAAGTATCATTTTCATCCCTCTTGACCGCTTTCCTTTTTCTTACTAACCTATATGGCTACTGACTAAACTTTTCCTTTTTTTCAGGACAACCTCAACTTGCTGCTTACTGAGGAGGAAATGTATAGTCTCACAGAGACCTTTCAGCAGTGTAAAGTCATCCCTGGTAAGGCTAAACAGCACTACTGAGAGGGAAAAGGGATGGACAGAGTCCTCCTTCAAAAGAATATTCTGGGATTTGGGGAATAAGGGATAAATAGGAGATTATTCCTGAGTTGTTGGCCAGAGAGGCACCTACACTACCATAGCCTCATCTGTGCCTTTGGGAGGCATGAATGCGCTGTGGAGGTCCAGCACTGAAAAAGGGTGGGCATGGCCAGCAAGGGGTGCCTCCCACAGATTGCTCCCTGACTCTGGAGGACTTCATGCGCTACCGCCACCAAGCAGCGAAGCGAGGTGACAGTAACAGAGCCTTAAGTGACAAGCAAGAGGAACAGGCAGCTCGCCAGTTTGCAGCCCTAGACCCTGAGCACCGGGGCCATGTAGAATGGCCTGACTTCTTGTCCCATGAGTCCCTCCTACTTCTGCAGAAATTACGTCCTCAGGTGAGAGACAGCTGGGATGAGTGTTCATGGGAGGGGGCGAAGAGGCCTGGGAAGCATGCTGGGCAGGTTGGAGAGCATGGAATAGTGTCCAAGCAAGAGCCAGTTATCAGGAATGGGTGAAGTTTCCATGTGGTGACAGCTTATCAGTCCCCAGACCAGGGAAGCTACCCACAGAAGGTTGATTTACACTGGACTGCCCTGAAGACAGCACTATCCGAAAAGCTCTGGCAACTTCTAAGAGAGCTTGCAAAGGTTAGGTCATAGGAGTAGGATTTTGTGTGGCTTGACAGTTTATAAGCAATCTTTAACTCCAAGATCTTAACTTACCTCTTCTTCCTCAGAACTCTCTGTTGAGACTCTTGACAGTCAAGGAGCGAGAACGAGCCCGCGCCACCTTCTTGGCACAGGGCAGTGGGAACACTATCAGTGAGACAGAATGTCGCCATGCCCAGCACTCTTGGTTCTACAGACACCTCTCAGAGGCTCCTTCATGCAGCGTCAGGTCTGCTTCTTACCAGTTCTAGCCTCCCTCCTCCTTTTTGCATGCAGGTGACCCTTGGTATAAAAGGTACTTCCCTGGTTCTACCAACAACCAGGACAGGATCCTCCTGTGCATTAGGCAGAGGACATTAATTCCTTTTGTCCAGGGCGTGGAGTGGCCCCTACACTAAACCCTGTGCTACCTCACATCAGATAAGTCTGAGTAGGCATGTCCAAAGCCATGGGCACATCATAACGTGAGAGACCAGAACTTTTATTGTCCTACTCTTAACCACATGTTCTTATATCTAGCAGCATCAGCCATGTGGGTCCCATAGCAGACAGCAGCCCAGCCAGCACCAGCAGCAAGAGTCAGGATAAGGCCCTGCTGTCTACAGAGCAGGAATCTAGGTAAGTGGACCCTCTTGGCTGTTTATAGTCTCTGCCCACCTAATCACATATAAGTAGGAAAGGGCATCATCCACTGCCATTCCAAAAATAGCAAATGCCCACTTCAATAAGCCAGGCAGCTGATCTGCTGGCTTGGTGATATAGCCTGCCACAATCATATCAGACATGAGCCAAGGCTTCGCCAAGTTTTGTCTAGCCCAAGCCATGCTTACACTAGGATTGGGTCTCATAAGCCTTCAGGCTCTGCACCCACCAACAGGAATATGTTCTTTACTTCTACTGCAGATCTGTGGACTGGCCTACCTTCCTGCAAGAGAATGTCATCTACATCTTGGCTGCTCGCCCCAACAGTGCAGCCATTCACCTGAAGCCCCCAGGATAGTGTGGAACAGCGACTCTTGGTTTGGGACAGTGGCATCCTTTCCCTCTTTTCCTTTCTTCCTTTCCCCCACCAACTTCTGGCACTGAGACTCGTGGGATTGGGGTACTGCCGGCATCTTAATTTATCATTAAGCATATGGCACTGAAATCACCATTCCCTGTATAGCAGAGGCAGTAAATGCACTGCCACAGGGAGAAGCCCCTGAGGGCTGTGGCAGCACACCCACTCCTGGACCAAACCCTACCCTCACATCAGAGACCAAACCTGCCACCACACATCTTGTTGTCCATGCCTTTAGAAGCCTGGTTCTTTTTAGTTGAAAAGGACCAAAGTCCCTTTGTGAAAAAAATCCCCAGACATAGATAAGATGGGCTCTACTCAACTCTTCTGTTGCCCATTTCTGATTTCCAATAGACAAAACTCTGATTGATTCTTAAAAAGGAAGTATATCAGACTCACATTCCCTCCTGGAAATGCTGAGAAGGCCCTTCTGCCCACACTGAAAGCCTCTTCAGCAGTGAGCTACTATTACTAGTGGAAATTTACTATATTCCTTGGGTGTGTGGGGGTGGGAAAATATTGAAAATCACCACTGCAGTCTCATCTGCTATTTATTTAAATTTTAATACCCTATGACAGAGACAGAAGCTAGTTTATGACATACTGACCAGAAAAGGGGGAGGCAGCCTGTTCCAGAGACCCAGAAGTCTAGGAACCTTTCAGCCAAGTCATCCAAGTCCATAGGTCTTGAGTGAAGTAGTTAAAAACAAGGTTGAACCTTCCTGGTCCATTTTCAGATGGTAGCTCATTGCCCAAAGAACCTGAATGGAATAAACATGTTGGCAGGAGTCCCAGCCCTCTGTATAAGACTTCACCCCAGTCAATACCACAAAGACCAATGAGGATAAGGTCTACATGGAAGAGGAGAGGGGAGAACTTGTGTTTTTCCATCATTCCAGGTCAACCATAGACCTAGAAAAGTGTGCTACTGTGTGGAGAATGCATCCAGCTTCCATAGCTCAAGACAGCAGCTCTGTGAAGCCCCGAGAAGGGATTGCTTTCAGCCATAATGACAATAAGGATAGGAAACAACTGGGCTTATGAAGATCTGCATCTCTGCTCTCTCAAGCACAGGAGGTCCCAGTAAAGCTTCCTAGAGGAACATTTCCCCTTCCCCCATCACTGTGTGGCCTCAATTGCTGCTTTTTCTCATTGTTCTCTACATGTCCTTACTCTCCGTGCTATGGTCGGAGCCTGATATGGGAGGATTTGGGGGCAAGCAAGGCACCAGTGATGCCAAACTTAGCCTGCAAGCCCTCTCAAGTTTTCATCAAGTTTTCAAGTCAGCCCTGTTATGGGTCATCCCTGGCCCAGGGGTCCAGGTTCTGTATTTCTGTTTCTAGCTGTATGACTTTGTTAGAAGAAGATGTGATTACCAAGAATTATTCAAGAGGGAATTGTACTCAGCTATACAGAAGCTAACATATGTCCACTGTGTAAGGAAAGCCCTTGTACTTAGAGGAGGAGAAGAGTACTACTCAGAGGAAAGCGGGAAGCTGCAGTTAGTTGCTTGATAAGAGCCCTGTATAGTCTCTCTCTGTAAGAATGAAACTAGGGCAGGATGATAAGCTGCTTGAGATAGATTATTTAGGACTGAAATGAACTGAAACAAATGTGGGATCACATGTATGATCCTGAACATTTCAAAACCTACAGCTTAGCCATTTCACAGAACTGATCAGTAAGAGGAGCCAATGTTCAGTCTAGTTTGTTTGTTTGTTTGTTTGTTTTTTAGGAAGAAGTGAAAGAAAACACACTCTTGGGCCTAAGAACTGCATCTGAAGCAGCCAGGCCTGAGATTTTGCATGGAGAAGATTAAAACACATTAAACACAAGGGCTCTTGCTTACTATCCCGGCAAGTAACCTTTTCCAGTGACTGGACTGCAGGATCTCAAAGACAGGACATTTTGAGTGTCTACTCTTGAGTTTTTGAGAGCTGAAGAGTTCTTTTCTCACCTGCCTATTCATCAGTCACAGGGACTGGAAGGCCATCTTGGTCCCTAATCTTTGACAGATCAGGGCAATGCCTACTGCTCTGGAACTGCTTCTTCTTAAATCTCAGCGGATGAATGATTAGAGACCATCAGCCAGATCAGGCTGGCTGTGTTCCAGAGTCTGCAGAGTAGGCCCCAGACTTCTTCCACAATGGGAGCAGGCCCATTTACGATCATTCTTTTCCCTATCACAGGGCAGCAAGCTTCCTTGGTGGGGGTTCTACTGTAGAGGGCCCAGGGGATGCTGTCACCAGTAATTAATAGAATTCCTAATCCACAGCAGATATAGAAAGCAGAAAAGCACACAGGATAGCCAGCCATTTCTAAAGCATCTAGTTCTTTACCAAAGGGAGGATTCACTGCTCCCTAGTCCAGAGTTGCAGAGCCCCACCCCAAATAACTCTGCAGTGTTCTAATTCCTAGAGCTCTACTACAATATTTATAGAAATGTCCAGACTTTCATTGACCCAGTGAGTTCCATTCCCTTTTCAAGCCTTTCCATCACTGTGACTGTCTGAAATTGTGCCATGTAAAACAATGTCTGCCTCTTAACAAGCGTATGAAGATACTTCAATCTTTGTTACATTTGGCTACCAAAAATTAAGATCAGTGCTTTTCCCACACCAAATCCCAACCATGTGAGCTTGGATTATATGCATGCTCTTTTGAAGACAATTTAGGTGAGTGACTGTTTTCCTTCACCAGTCATCCATGCCCAGATTCAAATAAAAGGGCATCTGAATGACAACATGGAGCAGCAGGGACAGATGATCTCTGAGGGAATGGCTGTGGCCATGTAATCTCTCGGTCTGCAGCTTGGCTTCCTTTCCTGAGACTGTCCTTCCTAGAAGAACATTGGAGTAGTGACCCGCTATGCTATCCTGGGGCTGGAGCAGTTTCCTCACTCCTGGGTACTGATTAAATTCTCAAGTGTTCTTCAAGGATAGCTGCAGCAGAAGCCATGAATATGTTGCCTCTTTCTACCACCAAAGCAATGGACTGGGAAGGCAAACACCCACCTTTCTGGCCCTGGTGCACCTGATGGAATGTCACCCTAGCCTTGTCTAAGTGGTCAGATCTTGAGGTTTCCCCATTCCTATCACCAGTATGGAAAGCACATAGACTGCCTGAGAAGAGGGCACCTCACCGGGCAGTGATCCCCAGGGTTGTTCCCATGCCTCTTAGTCCAAAGCACAACTTCATTGCAAGCATCAAGGATTTGGTAAAAATGGTGCCCTAAAGCCAAGAAAAAGGCTCATCAGAAGGATTAGGCCAGCCATGATGCCCCAAAGCCAAAAGTAACCTCTAGGCAGGACTGAGAACTGGTAGTAGGCGCTAGTGTTCCTGCAAGTATGTCCCCTTCCAACCTACAGAGTAAAGGCAGAGGTACAGTATACAGTCGTGAATTGCTTAACAGTGAGCATACATTCTGTGAACTGTGGTTTCTTTGTAGTATGAACTTCATAACATGCTTACACACAACATGACTAAGTAATATCTTAAGGGGCCATGTGCATTGCAGTTCACTGTTGGAACATGATTGTTATGTAGTACATGACTCTTCTGTACTTGGCACTAAAAGGTTAATCAATCTTGATGCCAGAATTTCAGGGCATCCTTGAAGTATCTGTAACCGTAGTCCCTTTTTACCCTCCCTATTTACAGTGAATCAAAATGCCTCTTTCTACTTACCACTTAGTTTGAACTTGCTAAGATATCTCTAGGGCCCTGGCTGCAGCCCACAAACATCTTGAGTGGATACTTGGAGTGTATCACTCCTGCTCCCAACCTGGAGTGGAGTGGGGCTGGACATATTCTGTTGCTTTCTTGCTGCCCGTATTTTTGGCATCCTTGAGAAGAAAATTCATGGGTAATAGAACTGGGGATTTGGCTCAGTGGTGATGCCACCTGCCTCGCAAGTGCAAGGTTCTGAGTTCTATCCCTGGCACAAAATGAATGGGTCACAGAATTTCCACTAGATGAAGCCAGCACTCAGGAAAATCTGCCTCCCTCTAGGCTACCTACCCTGATGACAGAGGCAGTCAGGTCTCATCTGGACCCATGATTAAGGAGCCAAATCACATTCCAGTTGGTAGCACCAGGTTGGTTTTTCTATATCCATGGTGTACAAAGGCCTTCAAGCTTAACCTCCAGCTGTTTAAGGGATTGCCATGGTCTGTTTCCCAACTAAACCCTAAGAAAGGGAGCTCTTGAGTAACAGTGGAAGTTCCAACACCCTCTAGTCCCTCATGCCCTTCCCATGCACTTTTCTGCAGAAGGTAATGTGACAGTAAGCTGAGGAGAACAGCCCCAAGCCCTTTTGTCTACAGCTGCATGCTCCTCCCTTTGCGTCAGCCTTCATGGCACTCCAAAAAGAGCTCTCAGAGCACAGCAGAAAACATAATAAAGAGATTGTGACACTATTTCAGCTTCCTGCTTCCTTTTGTTTGGGAAACCTATCATCTATCTGTGGCTTCCCGTCATTGGCCAGTTTTTGGGCCCAAGGATAAGACAGGCACCACAGTAGCCTCCAAGAAGAATACACTATCCAATGGCTCTCTAGCACTTTCCTGGCCCTGACCTTCCCAAGAGTCAAGTGATGAGTGTGTGTTGGGGCACCAGATAGAAGATACAGTGTTCTATCCAGCACAGGTACAGAAAGGAAAGGGGAGCATGAGACCTTTGAAGAAATTAAGTAATAAGGTCTCCCAACCTGTCTGCTCTGTATTGTCCCCTTCCTCACCAAAGGCCAGTTTTAGACACTTCTCTCAATTACAACTGAGCTACAAAATGGGGGAGCTAGTTGGTTGTTTTCTCCTGATCTCTGGGACCTCCCTGGTCAAGGACTTTCCTCCCATTTTTACCACTTTTTTAATGTGATGTGATAGAGTTGGGGAATCTCAGATACAGAGAGGAATTTGGAGGTCTATGTGGCTCCCATTCATCCCTTTGCCTGATGAGAACAGCCAGTCCCTGCAGGGAGAAGTAGCTCTTCTAAGCTATAAATCAGATGCTGACACTACCTCCAAAACCAGAAGTCCCTGATACAAATAATTGCTAACATTTTTGATCACTTATTACACACTGGAAAATCCTAAATTGTTCACATAAAGTCAGGAAGCTTCAAAGCAATCCTATGAAGGGTCTAGGGCTGTAGCTTATCGGCAGGTTGCCAAGCATGCACAAGGTCCTGTGTTTGATCCTCAGTACCACAAGAAACATTTTTTTAAAATCCTGTAAGACTTGTATTGCAGATGAGACAAGTGAGGAACAAACGCTATGTTTCTCAAGGGTACATAATCATATAGGAAGTGGGGAGCCAGTTAGTCTGCCTTCATTGCCTATGTTCTTAGCCACTTCGTTGTGCTGCCTATCAAAGTACACCTCAAAGGAACCACTGCAGTGTGGTCTAGCACCTCCCTCTTCTACCCCTGGAAATAGACCCAGGCAGGTATCCAGGCCTATAGCCATGTCACAGATTTCTTGTGACATGTACAACTCACCTCACTCATTCACTGGACTCCCATACCTCTTCTCTCTGGAGTTTTTCCATGGGGATGGGGGATCACTAGACCCAGAGGCAGCTTAGTGACATCACACTGGCCTCTTCCTTGTCTCCAGGAAAGCTGAGCATCAAAGCAGAAAAACAGGCATAAACACTGGGTCTCTAGAGTAGAACAAGTTTATGCCAACCTCAGTCCAGCAATCTTGGCTGGAGCTTTATGCCCTCCTAGAACTGTTCCTCCCACCAACTGTCATGTACTCCATGGTTGGTTGGAGCCTGAGTTTTACACAAACCTCCACCAACCTGTCCTCCTCTGGCTCAAGTATACTTCCTCTTTCCCTAAGGAAAATCATTTCCCAAAAGGAAACAGTGGCTGCTAAGTTTGTTAAAACATGGAGCAGCTTTCCCTCTCCCACCATTTCCAAGGATTGGTTGGGGCTTGACCTTGCTGAATATGTTTTTTCATCTGTAAAAATCTGGAAAGCTGTCTATTTACTATCTGACTCCAGAGCTAGTAGTTAAGAACAGAGTGAGACTGTTAAGAGGAAAGAGTTTAAGACACTGAGTGAACAGCAAGGATTTCTGCTCCATCTGAAACTGAAACTGTGTTTTCTCTCCCAGTCTCAGGCAGAGCTGGGGGTACTGCCAGTGGCCTCTGTCCACAGTGCTGAAGTCACAGCAAAGCCAGTTGGGGACCTTCAGTCTTCCTTTGTCCTATCTTTAAGCATCAAGAACATAATTTTTCAAGCCCAAAGATTGCCCTAAAATTCAGAAGTTGTCAAAAAATTTTATTTGTCATATATCTTTGGTTTTTCAAAATCCACAACAGGTACAAATGGGCAGAAGGTGATTTAGCAGCTCCGGGGAAAAAAAGAGCATGAAGTCTTAACTTGATGTGGATGAACTGCATGAGGTGGCTACCTAAAAATGAATTGGTGCAATCTGAGGCTGTATGGAAAGAAGTTCAGAGTCAGAGGAGGGAGACAGGCTGATTTATTTATACATTACATCTGTACTCCTGGAAGAAGTTAATCAGAGCCAGACACCATAAAATGGAGCCCATAAAGAAGAACATGGTCCTAGTGGCTGGAATCAAGACAGAGGAGAACCCTATGAAGGTATTAATCCTGCATAGGGGCAGACTTGAGGAATACAGAGGGCTGACAAATGGAAGATGGGGCTGATAAGGTTGCTGTGGTTCCAAGCACAGAGCTAAGACAAAAGGTGGACTCTAGGGGAAGGCAGATTGCTCCTCAAGAGGAGACAATTGGATATGAGGGATGGCAGTTAATCTGTATAAACATGTGACAGAAATACTGTGTTCAGAGGAAAATACCTTATCAAGTATTAAGTGCTCTTGAGTCTTGAAATGCCAGTCAGCATGTGCCTTCGGCACATGCCAAGCCCTGATACTGGCTGAACTGAAAGAAGGCAGCCCATAACTTTAAGGACTTCATGACCCTAAAATTTTGGCACCAAAAACCTGGGAACCTTAATTTCCAGAACTCTGGACGCTTACCTCTGTAACCTGACACTGCGTGCCCTCTGCTGGTCATCCCTAGCATTGCCATGTCATCTCAAAGCAAGAAATAACCCCTTTAATCCTTATGCCACTGATTTGTATAGATTCAAAACATGCAGAGAGACATCAGTACCCGGGAGTTAGATCCTGACCAGGGCCCAGTGTACAGGATCAAAACTGAATCTGAGGGCCAGGATATAGCTCCGCGATGCCACAACTGCCTGGCAAGCACAAGGTCCTGAGTTTGATCCCTGGTACTGGAAAAAAACTTTTTTGAAAATGAGTTCAAGTGTCTTGTATCAAAATTAGGGCTTAGGCTTTGGCTGGATTTGGAGAACTGTTTCATCCAGAATTACAGTATAACAAAAGTCAGTGACTCAGCCTGATGCTGAAGCTGGGACTCAGTGTGAGATCAAAGCCTAGGGCCACGTGTCTGCAGGAAGTATAAATCAGGAGACATGACAAGAGTAACCAAAGAAAGGAGTTGGTCTGCATCCGAGTTAATAGATTCACATAGCATTACAAGTAATGAGCAACCAATCACTGAAGAATTCAGTCAGAGATACTGACCAGGGAGCAGAATAAGAATGAGAGCCCCTTCCTCAGAAAGTGGATCCAAGTGTTCTAGTTCCACCTTCCCATTAAAGCCTCCTGACCTGTAGTGCCCACATAAAAATCATTGATATAATTTAGGGAGAAGAGAGGCCCAAGGTCCAATCCTGTCGCTGCAGAGCTGGCAGCTGTGGGGGTAGTCTTCCTCCCCCCACCCCAGGATTCTCTGTTTTTACTGGCAACTGGGCCTGGCAGCCTCCCACACCGAGATCTTAGCAACCATGGGAGCCCCTGGCAACTGCTGCCATGGTGACAAGACAGGGAACTGAGAACAGGAGGGGGGAAGCACTTCCTTGGGAGGCTTTGAGATGCGTGCAACATAGGGTGCTACCCCACCCAACACAGTCTAGGAGGGAACATGTGCTCCTGTCTAAACACCTCCTCACTGGCACCCACCCCCGCCCCTGCCCACAAGTTCCGGTTCTCTCAGGGTGAGGAAATGAGGGACACCTAGGGTTATGACGTCTCCGTGGGGAAGGAGGATAAGCGGGGGTGTTTGGAGCTGGCATGATCACAGATGCTGCATTCCATAGCAGATTGGTGTCAGTGTCTTAATAGCCACATACTTCATCCACATTGTGTCATGTGGACACATGCTTACACATTTAGTCACACATGTACACTGACACAAAATCACATACTTATAACAAATAACAGAACCAAGCACACTACCACACAAAAATAATTATACAGATACACTCACTCAAAAATTGAATTGCAAATACAACAGTACAAATAACTCCCAATCCCAGACACACACAATTATAGATGCGTTCACATACCCAGATGTCTGTGAACACAAAGTAATAACTTAGTTGAGCATTAACTACATACCAAGCTCAGAATTAATCACATTACATGTGTTACCTTAATTAACCCTTCCAACAACCCTATGAGGTACTGCTTTGGCTCTCTGCATTTACAAAAGACAAAATGAAGGACAAGTGTGGCACATAGTCTCACAACGTTGACACATCTGACTCTAAGACCCATATTCTGGTAATCTACACCATGTGTGCCCTGGTTCCTAAGACACACACACAATGTCCAGGACAATGAGACAGCAGGCAGCAATTTTGACCCAGAAACACAACAGAGTTTGAATCACCAACACCTAAGGGCATAACCTTGCAGGCCTGTGGGTTCAAGCCTACACTTTGGCATTACCAGGGCCAGGTAAGAGCCAGTGACTAAACCTTGCCTCTGTGTTGGCACAGGCAAGGCTGGGGGAGGCAAGAGACAGAAGTGGAATAAGCAGAAGCAGAGCCACCCACAGCCCGGGCCCCCACAAGTCATGAGAAGTGAGAGCCTCTAGATGTGAGGAGCCAGCACCAGTCCTAGACTCCCTCACTTCACCCTACCCTTCTCCACAGCACACTCTTCCATCGCTTCCCTTCCTCATTTCTTCCTCACCTCCTCAGCTCTGTCCCAGCCTTTTGCTGTTCATGCCGTCTTCCCTCTCTTCTATTCCCCATCCCCATCACAGGGCACTTCCCCTCCTCACCCCTTCATTTCCTCCCCCTCTTTACTTCCTACCTTCCTGCTCCCTCAATCCCAGAATCTCCCCCTCATCCCCCACTGATCAAGGCATCCCCACCTTCCCTCTAACTGCACTTCTCAACCCTCTTCTCACCCTGATTCCTTTTCTGATTTAAACTCACACCCCTTTACCCAGTGGTATGAGCGCCCTAATGAGAGCACCAGAGAGAAGGCAGCTAATGAAGGATATACAGAAACACCCAGGGCTCCTAGGCCTCTCTCCTTCTCTACTCTGTGGCCGAAGTCCTCCAAGCTTCAGTTTCCAGCTTGCGTGACCTTATGGGTGTCTAAACTCTGTCTCTAAGAAACAGCAAAGAAAACGGTGAGAACTTCTTCACAGGCCCTTCCTTTGTCATCGAACTCCCCAAGAACTCCCTCCTCCTCTTCACCCCCAGATTACCCCCCGCACGCCCCCACCCCTGCTCCCTGGAGCACAGATGGGCCTGGGAGACAGTAACGTGGGCGCCAGGCTCAGTGTCTGCTGGAGCGGCGGCTTCCGCTGGCGACCGCCTCCGCAGCCCCGCCTGCTCTGAGCATCGGGACATTGGGGCTGAGATTTAATTATTGGGGGGGGGGCTGAGATGAGAGAGTCTGAGGGGGTTAAGAAAGGAGAGCATGGGGAGATGTGATGAAAGTTTAAAGGGGGAGCTATAATAGAGGAGACCACAGATGCACAGGATAGATTAAGAATAGGACAAATTTTTAGAAGAAGAAGAAAAAAAAAAAAAGAAATAGGACAAGATAGAGGCTTGGGGGGGAGGAACAGGAGCTCACAGTGGGCAAGAAGAGGGGGCTAATGTTCAGGAACTCAAATGGAAGTAAAAATGAAAGGTTGGTTATGCGGGGGCCTAAAATAGGAGATGGGACAATGCCAAGAATGGGCTGTGAATGAATGAAGGGATTATTCAGAGGTTGGAAAGGGGCTTGGAAAGAGAATCATGAAGGTGCCACTCCTGGGGAGAGCCCCCAGGTTATAGGCGAGGGAGGAGCGGAGGGCGCTTAAACAAACTATGTCTATCAGGGTCTGTTCTGAGATTCAATTAGGCGGTGTCAGGTCCACCCTGGGCTAAGGTAAAATAAAGCTGTATCAGGTCAGGTCGAGGTTAGTTCACAGTTCGACGGAAGTCAGCTAAGAAGGGGTGACCTTTTGGCCCTGGTCCAGAGACTACATCTCCCAGAGTGCACTATTTTCTCTCTCTCTCCTACTCTCCTAAATGAAGACAGGAAAGAAAGAATGCCTGTGTCAGTGCCAACTGGTGGGCGCAATTTTTCTTTAAGGCTGCATTTGACGTTGCACGAGTTCCAGAAGGTTCTCTCGGGATTCGAGCGTTGGCCAGTCCGTCCCACCTTCACAAGCCGGAGATTGGACTAATACAGTTGCTCCCCACCTCGCTCTCGGGTCTGAATCTCACAGACAGACCAATAAAATCAAAGGGCGCTTGGAGTTGCCACCCTCTGTCCTTTTCACCAATGACGCAACGATATGGAGAAGAGGCGTGGTTGATTGATCTCAGAGGCCACCAATCAGACCCACACCAGTCACTGCCCGGAATGCGTGCGCGTGTGGCCAGGTGACAGGGGCGGAGAAGGGACGGCTACCACCGAGCCGCTCGTTGAAAGCTGCCCAATCACAGATGAGGCTGAGCTGAGTGACGCGTCAATGGCGCAATGGGCGATGCAGAGGCGGAGCCGTGGGGGCGGGCTCCCGGTCCCGCTGTCTGAGGCCGTCGGGCAGGCGACTCCTGTCCCGAGTGGAGGCGGCGGAGCCGGAGCCG